TAGTAGTATATATATATATATATATATATATATATATATATATATAGATGTTTTATATAAAAAATATAGAAATTGCACTATATAATTCTTTTTATTTTTAATTCTTTTGTTCTACATTACATAAAATACATTATTGTTGTAATACTTGTTGGTCACTTTTAGTTATTAGCACTTTTTCCAGAACTCATAATTTCGTAATATGGATATTTCAATGTACACGAACAACGCATAATATAATACTCCAGGAAACAATTTCAATAAATATGCTGATCGTCGTAAAATGGTAAAGTGCCTAATGTGAGTAATTATGCATTAACGATGTGCTCAATCCAATCAACGTAGGAAGATACGCGAGTGTAGACGGAAGGAGAACCGCTGACACCGCACGGATAAACACCCCATGACACAATACCGAGCTGAGTAGGATTGTTACCGTCAAATTGAACAAGTGGACCACCAGAGTCTCCCTAATAAGAAAAATACTTAGTGAGCAAAAAAAGTTGTGCAAAAAATCTTTACGTATTTAATCATTTTGTATCTATCGCATCTTTGTATCTGTCACGAATTGATGAATTTTAGAATGAGATCTGCAAATTGATCTTTAGAATAATTTTGCAACTTTTATAAAGAAGATAAGGTTGGAAGTTAATATTATTTTGTGAATTGATTAATAATCAGATTAATAGTCGATTAGATATCATTAATATTAATGTAACGAATCGTAGAAAAATTAATTTTACTTACGGAGCAGGCAGATGTTTCTTTGACAGCGTCAGTGCAGATTTGCGAATCATAGAGTTGCACAGAGCCGACTATTTCCAACTTTTTCAGACAGGATTGATTGTCCAGTAGGGGAATGGTGGCCTTTTTGAAGAACCTTAGGAAGCGTTGGGAGCAAATTCTTGGAAGTCGAACCCCATCCGGACAACACAACGTTTCCAATTCGCACCTCATTTTGTTGAGGTAGATTGACAGCGGACACTCTCTCGTTGAAAATGAGATGAGTGCTCAGTTTCAGAACAGCAATGTCGTATGGAGCAACACCTCTGAAAAAGCGCAATATGATTCAGTTCGAAGTATCGTAACAGACGCAAGTGTGTTATCAATTGCGAAAATATTAATTGCGAGAGAATTATTAAAAATGGTGTCACGACATTGTCTCAAGACATAGATTGCGGCTTTTGAAATGATTGTATATATATATTATATAATATGACTCGATCTTCAGACTTTTTAAGAGTCTCTACATAGTGATAATGTTTAAAAATAATAAATTTATTTTTTCTATCTTAAATAAATAAATCTTGTCAAATAAAAGTATAATTGTGTTATGATCAATATCACATTAATTAACTTTTATATAAAATTGTATTGTTAAATTAAGCGTATTCTTCAGTGCGAGTGTTCTATTATCGTATAGATAAGATTATTATTTCGTAATGACACAAATATGAATTATTTATTAATATTTTCTGCGATTATATCAACGAAGTGTTATCAGTTCGCATATTTTAGCTTTTGTAAGTTCAAGTTGAACATGAAAAAATTGATTTTTGATGGTATAAATGGCGAAAACGTACCCTGGATATTTTTCGTGAACGTAAGACTTCGCGACATCAACTACTTGCTCAGTGGATTCGGTCTCAAGCAGGACATGCTTGCCAGCAATTACTCTAAGCTTGCCGAGTCTATTGATGATGCAGTGTCCAGCAGTTATAACGTGATTTTTATTTAGGATCGAACCACCGCAGATATGGCTAAACGGGAGGATAGGTGGCAAGCCATATTGAACGGACACCTGGTAAGGGAATTCACCCGGCACAGCATCCTCACCATCGGTGATTCTCGGCTCCAGGCCGTAGGGTAAGGCCAGAGACGCTATAAAAAATTTTGACGAAAATTTTCTACACATAGTCTTTAAAAGACGAGAACGATTTTTGAGAATTCTCAATACTATATTTTTGTGTTTCTAATGTCATTTTATCACAAAACTTGAGATTGATTGCTCTTAAGTTTAAAAATATGATATGTTAAATATTTATCTTCCAGTATAATTATTAGAATTACAAAGAACATTATTACTTATGCAACATGTTTGAAACAGAATATTTGTGCATTTTTATAAAATACTCTTTCTCTCTCGTTCAATATTATTTTAAATTGTAGATATAAATTTATTTTATGATAATGTCGGTATTATAAATAAATTGCAAAAAATACGCGCTTACCCTGGAATACCAGAACGACGGATAAGAGACACTGGACCAGCATTGTCGTTAGATTTAAAGAAACCTAAGCGCCAAATAAAAATTTTCGGTTTATATACCACGAAAAAAAGACGTAATATCTTATACACGATAAGATGACAATATTTTAGATTTATTTGATAATATTCTTAAGTGCATAGATAAGCATATATTTACCATTTATTTGAAAATTCACTACAATTTATCCCTTAAAGAAAATACTAATGCGTATCTTTTTAATCATACACTTGACCATTGTGCATTGTGTGTTTAGTTTTCACTCTCTACGCAGTATAACTTCCGTTTATATCATGAGCAATGCTTTTATTTATTGTATTGCATACCTTACAATTTATTTTAATTAAAATTTAATAAAATAAAAAATTAAATAGTCTAATAGTTTAAGTAAATAAAAATAATAGAATAAAAAGTATTAATTTATTTTATTATCTGTACAAAAAGCTCAGTATTAATCATTATAATAAATTACATAATATGTATATACTACATAAAAATTATGCTATCTAAAAATTATAAGTATATAATTCTGCATACGCGTGTTTTATATAATTTATAAATAAAAATATACAAATATACTACTGATACATTTATTAAAGATATCTTACAATTATTTATTGCATTAAATTAGAATAATTCCTAAAATTCCTAAATTTGCTATTAAATTTCTAAAGCTAAATTTCCGAAAAATTAATTTAGAAACGTAATTTAGAAACGTAACACGCGTAAGGAACGTGAAATCTATTACAGCATCTCATGCATTTGTTTTTTAACCCGAGAATCGATAATATCACACGAATAATGTGTCTGACGTTATCTCCATTTAATTACAGATTTATCTTTTGTCGTCATCATACCCATTTAATTTATTTCGATAACAATACGAATGCTTGATACAAATGTTGTACTTTGTCTAGCGATGTCTATTGCGTAGGTAGGGAGATACCTACATATTTCGCAAAGGACATTAACTCGCTCTGATACATCTGAAAAACTAAGTACATTTGCATCAGAAGCGCGACTTCATGTATTACAGGTGACTAAGCGAGTGATTGCGCGAATACCCGCCCAAATTTCGCGCGCCGTCGGAACTATTTGAGTCGCCGGCAAAAGAAACCCATAAGTTCCGCGATCGCGAAGTTCCACTGTGTATGCATATTTTATTCCGGCGACGCCTTTGGCCCAATCATCGGACGATCCTGAAAATGGAACAAGCATACGATAAATTTTCCGTATCGCAATATTATGATTAGCAGCGCATTAAATTAGGTCTGTATTAAGTTCTTTTTTATGAATTGCAAAATTGTATATTGTCGATATGGATAAAGTTGAAGTGTATACCAGAAGTTGGATACATCAGATCTGCCATAGATCCAATTTGATAATGAGTGCCGTGAACTTTTGCAATCGCGTTAATCGCCTTCTTCGCTACGTTCACCAAGTCGGTGTAATCCGAAGGTTTCGAGCGTGTGTATCCCCACGGTACCAGCCACATTTGTGAGTAAGAATGCAAAGTCAAATACATTCTAAAATATAAACTTGTTGGTATCAATATTTATTTCTAAAGAGTATGTTTAAAATGAAATTCCAGTAAATCGTGTGGAATGAAATGTGCTCGGATAGTTAAAATTAAATTAAATTAAATCTCGGACAGTTATAGTGTACCTTATATGCTGCTTGTTCGCCAGAATATAATCTGACATGGCTTTCGTTTCCGGTTCAGAAAAGGCGTACGGTCCAGAGTAATTTTCGCGACAAGGATCTAAACTGGCCCCGTTCTCTTTCTCCTCGCCCCAGTGGTGTGCAAAATTTCGATTCGGATCAACGCCCTCGCATTTAGTCCAGAACCATCTAGTATAGTGTGTTAGGAACTGTAACAGATTGGGAGGCGACCTAGAAAAAAAGATGTGTGTATTGATTTATTTTATTATAACGTAAAGCTTATATCGCTTTATCGTATATTGAAAAATATTTATTGACACGGACAACTCTCTTTTCTAAAATCTTAAAATCGGAAGTCTTATCGCCTTTATCTAATCTTTGTTAAAGATTGATCTGTAATTTAAGAGATATAAATAATGTGCGAAATTCTTGATAACACATCGCGTTCGAGAGGTGCCAAAAGTCAGATTACATATGCAAATAACGTGCTATGCTAATATTATTTTGTTGTTTTGAATAAGTTATGATACTGAAACGATAAATGTGTTTTCTCTCTTCTCACTTGCTATCGTTTTCGCTTTCCACATGATTGCTTCTGGTTTTTCGCCAGAAACGATCGCCGGTGTGGCTGTACTCATAACCGTCGGGATTAGCGACTGGTAGAATCATCCAGTCCGAATTGTCCAGCAATTTCGAATAGGTTGAGTTCCTCTCAACCAACTGGCTCAATATGTAGGTCGCCACGGCGGTACCAATCCATTCTCGTCCGTGCATGCCTACAAATATGACGACAATTCACCGAAAACACGATATAACGGGACAAGATGCTCATAAAACGTGGAAAGCACGCGGATTCGACGTCGACGAAAATCAGATCGACCGTAAATATTCCACAATAAACATTTTTATGCCGCTGAGAGAAACGATCGCCAAGAGAAAAAAATGAAATTCTTGTAATATCAATACGTATATTTACAATTACTTTTCAATATTTATCTATTTTTGATTTTTATAAACTTATTTTCGGAAGAAATAATCACCGGCAAAAAGACTTACCGGCATCGATCCAAATCGACGGGCTTTCGTTCGCCATCCTTGTTCAATCCTATCGACACTTTTGCCATTTTAATCGGTTGACCCTCGTAACTCTGGCCGATGGTCGTCAATTCTACCATTTTGGGATACCTGAAGGCCAGGTATTCTAAATAGCGGACGATATCTACAAAAATACCAATTTATTAATTTGCAGGAATCAAATTTTTATTATGTTGTTTGACTATACTTTTTATTTATGCATTTAAAATTCATATATTTAAAAAAAGTAGCTGATGTATGTTTATAAGATTACTCGTACACTAAAAATAGTTTACGATGTAAAAATATTTTCAGCTCACACACACACACACACACACACACATGTTTTACCTCCATATCGATGATAACGTTTCCATGTCATCGTATGGCCTTGTGTGGTAACCAAGTCTTCGCGTTGTTCTTTTGACATTTTCGGATTTTGATAAGATATCGTCTTCTATTAATGAGAAACATCAATTAATTTACATATTACTATAATTATTTTGACAATCAGCGATATCTCTCTTTTCTATTTCTAGAATGGCGATTATTAATAAATCACGTAATTAACCACGTACGATTGATACGCGATATTGAACCTTCTGATATGTGTAAATAATAATTTATTTATTCGTATCATATAAGAGTATCGTATAAAAAATCATGTTAGAAATATCACCAGTAAAGTGTGTCAGCGTTATGCATGACCATCTGCCGTCATTGAAAATGTTTTCAATGATATTGCGTACAGGGACGGATTTCGATTTCTGCCGCTCTTAGACTGAATCAAATTTGCCGCCCCTTAATGACAGTGGAGCAAGGGGAAATTTTTTATTAATTAAATAAAAAATAGATAATAAAATAGAAAACAGGTATCTTATTCACACACACACATAAGATTCTTTGAATAATAATACAATAAATAACACATTCTCTCTTGTGCGCGCGCGTTTCCAGTTTTTTTTCTCCAATTCTCAACCGATTTTATTGACATTTTTTTAATGATATTTAATGTTACCTCGAGCATATAAAGACAAAAATGTAAAAAACGTAAAAAAATTTTTAATTTAAAAAAAACTCAAAGAAAAAATTTCAGCAAAATCGATTGAGAATTGAAGGAGAAAAACGGGAAATAAATTTCGCCGAAAACGCCGGAAAAAATAGCACTTGATACGCTCTTTAACAGTAATGATCACGAACATATTTATATTATGATTCTTTTGATCAGAATGTATTTCGAATATAAATCGAGTGTTAATAAATTTTGTTTAAATTCAAAAATTAAAAATTTGCCCCTTTAAAATCTGCCGCCCTGGGCTATAGCCTATCCAGCTTAATGGAAAATCCGCCCCTGATTACGTGTAATACAATAAAGATGTACATAATGTGTGTAATGCAATAAAGATGTGTAATGCAATAAAGATATATTATTGAATCATTAATTTCAAGTTTCAGTTGTCACAACTATCGATAGAAATGGGTTAATATAGAAAATAATCTTTTTAGAATTTTATATTCTAAACATACTTGAAAACTTGTCTAAAGTGCTGAATGATGTAATATTCATGTAACAAATGTAAAATATTAATTTGTCTTACCTGGATATCCGATATCAACACTTTGAAATCAATTTTCTTATCTCTCAAATAATCCTTAACGTCTGCTACGACATCCGGCGCGACGATGACATCTAAGGTTCTAATAAATAAATATAGAAACTAAGCTAAACAGTTTGTATAATTTTTTACTGAGAAAGATTACGTACCTGTTGGGGTTTGGAAAAGACCAAAATTTTATGTCTTCGGGCTCGGTGTCTTTCAAATCGCGCAGATCCGCAACATGCTTCTCCGTGTTCGGAAACACTCTGATCAAATGGTAATTTCGATAATTTATTCTTCTGGCACTCGAGCGTGAATTCTTTTTCTCGGTGCCAACAATGCTACTCATGACTGTATTGAGACCACTCGCTACAACAGACAGCACGGATTCAACTAGGCCAAATAGAGAAAAACCCCTGTCGTAGTCATCATCCGACGACGATTCTCTAGTTGTCTCTTGAGAACAATTTACTTCGACGAGTTTAACTCTTTCCTCTTTTTTATCATTATAATTCAAACACGCTTGCGCTTTTTGATCACTGTGAACATCCTGTAAGCTACACATTTATTACTTTATATAGTTATATTTAGAGCATATTAGTGGTATTGATTCTTTTTTTATACTTTATGCAAATTATAAAAAAAGATATATTACATTATAAATGCGAGCAGGTAAAATATCGCAAGAGTTTATAATTCTTAAATATAACACAATGTTTTGTAGCCTGAAAATAATTGTGTTATTTTTTATGCATAATTTGTAAATAAAATAATCTGTAAAAATATTCTAATCGTATAAATTTCAAACTGTATTTGATAGCATCTCGACGTTTGTGTTACATGCTTTTTGAATATCACGAATACTGAAAACGCGCAGCTTCGCCATCAATTTCAGCACAAAATGCAACATTCTTTCAAGATTAACGTGCTCACGGTCCACTTCCTCACAGGCGAACGAACGAAGATAAACTGGAACGGATAGAACGCGCCGAGCGAAAAAAAGTATAACAATTAGCGTAATTGAACGACGCCGAGCAAAAGTGAGATATAAAGATTAGTAGACAGTCTTCATTACAACAATTACGTGAAAAAAATGTGATAATATATTTAATAAAAATAATATTCTAGAGTCCAAAATTCCAATTGTAATGTTTATATAGAACTGATTGAATATCGGGTTCAATGAAAAAGAAAAGATCGGCTTTGAAATAAAAATCGTCAAATTTCTTCGCCTTGGAAAGTTTATATTTATACGATTACAGTATCAATTGCATTTGTTGTGTAATGAATAACACCAACCTACTACTTTCTTCATCCAGGGCTTTTTCTTCTTGAAATATCCTCTCTTCCAAGTAATCGTAGTTATATCCCGGATGTGTCGCAGTGTTACTATCACGATACGGACTACCGCTCGCCGGATGCAGCACGAGCATTCCTGAAACCCCGAGAATCACGCACAAGATCGACCCAACGCCGGCGCTCATGGCGTGCTTCGATTGCGCCAGGATGCTCGATCGTCTCGAAGGTCTTTCGTTGACTGGCGAACCTGCAGCCGGAACCCGTCGCTCGGTTTATGTGGGCACGCGACGGTTTCACTATTCTGCCCCACGGGCTTGTCTTACGGGATTTTAGCTTCGCGCTGAATGACATTTATTCTTTCAATCGAGCCGCGGTTCAAAGGCTTCCGGGTTAATGGAATATTAAAAAGATTGAATACATTACTGATGCTGAGGTACGGTGACAAATTGTTCCGGCGCGATGCTGATCGTTTAAAATAAAAGAAGATAACTGCGGATTCTTTGTGAAGAAGTTGTAACTTTTGTTAACATGCGGCAAAATTCGAAGTAACTGACAGTGATTTATTTTGATTTCTAGACGCTTTCTAGATGCTAGTGATTAGTTTTCAAAAAATATGAATGTCAATAGATTCTTGGCAAATTTAATAGTAGCTATATGTATATAGAGTATATGTTTGTAATTTGCATTACAAATTTAATTAACAATGCTTATTTTGCCATATTTTTTAAGAAACAATTTATTTCATTTTTAAAAAATGTCACTTCCTTGATTGGAAATATTTTGCTGAAAGTACTATGAAATCAATGAAAAGTAAAATGAAAGTTTTTGAAAAATTACTAAATATATTTCAAAATAAATCATAATTTTCCGTATGAAAATTTAATGTAATACTATGAAATATAAGGAAAGTTAAAATATACTGCTGAAAAGTAATAAAAGAGTTTTTAAATAATTATCATTATAAAATTTACTGAATTAAACTGAAAACTGTTACTTTTTAATGAAAAATTGCTGAAGTATTTATGAAATTAATTAATGGGGTCAATTGAAGAAAAATTTTCAAATACATTTCAGCA